CTTACCTAACTATAGTGTTGGGCTCCATCACGGCCTATAGGTGAAATTGGATCGTGACAAGTAGGGACCTATAGTTATATTTGACTCCTTTTATGAAGGGGTCCACACAATGATACAAATTACATGATCCTTTCTTGTAAACTCCCGAACATAAAGATTTTCTATGACACAGTATTTACCGAATTTATTATCGATTTGTTACATTGATTTCTGTTACAGGAAACACATGAATATACTGATTATATTTATCGTTTTGAGAGGGCGTTTTATTTTTATGATAGTTCTGATTATTATTATACAAGCATATTTTCTGACTTGTCCCCAATTAAAAACGGATGTGGTTAAGTATTATTACTCACTGAGCTAGCGACTCACTCCCCACTATTTTTTGACAGAGACAGTAGTTGACGTAGGCAAGTATTTCGTTAATTAGAGCGCACAAGTTTATAGTTCTTGGTGAGCCCCACACTCGTTCGCGTGGGCAATAAGTTTTATTTATTTGCTATAGTCTTTTCTTTTGAACTCTTAGAGTTGCTCCATCGTTATCTTATTAGTGTCGTGAGTATTCATTTGTTAATATGGACTAGTTACTAGTATTACACTTTCTTTCCGTATTTTTAGAGTTGGCTTTGGTTTTATTATGTTGAAGAAGTTAGTAATATTGGTAGAAACGCGTTTGTCGTTAGTTGATGAAGATTGTGACTTATTTAGATGAATATTGGTTGGTTGTTATTTGGTTATGAGACAGAAAATTTTTTGGATAGTCCAACAACGGGTGAAACTCTGTCCCTTTTTTTGTAAAATACCGATAAGGCTTACTTGGGAGCACTTGCTCCAAGGCGCCGGTCATGATCATAAATTGAGTCGTGACAGCAGAGAAGTGCTTTTGAGCAACATGAGAAGTAGTTTTTCTGCTTTTTGGAAGAAGTTACAAGTTCTAACTTCTTTCAAGAAGTAGAAGCAGAAAATTAATTTTTTCATGACAAAAGTATCCTTACCAAAAATTTATATATTTCAAATTATCCCTTGTTAATTTAAATTTTTTCTTTTTTGTTTCTGCCATCCATTTCTTTATTTTCTCATTTTTCATTATTTTCTATTCTTCTCTTGACCTTCTTTGAAATAGTCTCTCTACAATAAATAGATCTTTTCTTTTATATAGGATTTATGGTTAGATTTTTTATTTATACCGAACGATATGTATTGATATGTTTGAATCATCATGTAAATAATAAGTAATACCATATACCTTATATCATTTCTTTGGGTAATTATATTTTATATTGATTAAAATCTTTAATATATATTTTGCTTTATGTTTTATAAATTCAATTCTCTTTTACAAATAATACTAATAGTAAATTGAATATTTATTGTCCTTTTTCGTAATATAATATTCAAAAGTATTTTTTGAAAAGACTGGTCAAACGCAGTTTGCTTATTAAATATTGCAAAAAGCGTTTCTAAAATGAATTGACCAAACAGAAACTACTATTTTTTAAAAGTACTTTTTCGAATAACACTTTTGAACAAAAACACTTCTCAATATATGTAGCTTGGCCAAACGGGCTCTTAACGAATTCCAAACGAGATCAAGATCATTCGTTATTTATCCAAAACATTGCTTCGTGAGTTGTTGCTCTTCTGAAATAAGCATGCCTGACTAGTTTGGAAACATGACCGAAGGCTTCTCATTTCCCCAGCAGTTGTGTTAATTCACACGGAACTGGTTGTCTTAACAATGTAGACTTAACAAATTAATGTTGGATCAGGTGCGTATAAAGACATTAGTTTCTCGCTATTTCACATCCCAAGAAGGGTTTGAGTGGTCATAGGACATGTAAATTTTTTTATTGGTTCTGTCCTCTTAAGGAGCTTCTCTTCTTCTCTGCTCCACTGTGTTTTCCTATATCCTCGTTTGGTGACTTTGCACGTCTTTTATTTCTTTTGGTGCTCCTAGCTTATAAAAATTCTTTCCACCATATTTTCATGAATACATAAGTTTTTGATTTGATATGTTTTAGATCTGTTTGTGAAGTCATACATAAGTTTTTTGTCTATAATATTTGGCCATAAAATGAGCTACAAAGTGTCGATATTGATCAGCAAAAGAAAACTTTAGAGTAAGTAGGAGCGCACCTGCTAAAGGGCAGAACACTCCATAAGATTGGATGTTTATTACCTTAATTCTTAACTTATATATTGCATAATTGATCTAAATGAGTAAATTTTTTATGTTGCCTTATATCCATCGCATGTATCTTTATTTAGCGCAGATTTTTTATTTTTTTTCTGCTACTTCTTTTTAGGTATGCCTCTGGTGCCAGCCCTACAGGATTTTGTCGTTCATCCCAACTTAAAGTTGCTGATTTCTCATTCAACTTTCTTATCGGAAGCATACCGAAGTGCTTGGGTTACCTTCCAAAGTCAGTTCTTAATTCTTCGCTTATCTTCTCTGTTCCTGAATGCCTGTTATTTTTATTGCTGTAGATCTAGATTCAATGAAATTGTTGCTAGAGAAAATATCCGAAGCATCGCTCTGATGCTCTATAAATGTTGTTTTCTATTGCCTTTTATAATTTCTGAATGCCTGTTATATTGTGTTGACATAGATCTAGCTTTCATGGAAATTGCCTTCAGCACAAAGATCCAAAGCAGCGCGCTGCTTCTCTATGTGGTAAGTAATGCTGATCAAGCATTTCTCTCTTAAGCCAGTAAACAATCTCTGGGTACTATTTTCCACAGAATGAATTGTTTGTGTAGCATGTTAACTTTTTATTTTTTCCTATACAGTTACAGTCAAGTAGATTTATTATTATAATAAGACTGAACTGGTTGTTTTAATATCGCGTTATAGGTGAAACTCCACCTGCCACTAGCCATGCATCAACAGTCAATAATAAGCACCGGTCTGTTGAAGGACCGATATCTAGAGCTTTATTTTCAGAAAGAGGCGAGACTCATTCTTTCTTCATGATATGTAGCTACTGTTTCCATTGTAAGTTTCATGCTCTAACTTCTGTAACTTTACCATAGGTGGCAGAATTGGCCAGAATAAATCACGAGAATGCTGGGAAACTTCTAGGCTATTGCAGAGAAAGTAGTCCTTTCACGAGGATGTTGGTGTTTGAGTATGCATCCAATGGGACATTATATGAACACCTTCATTGTGAGTAAAGTAAGTTGGCTTTTGCGTCTACTTCAGTATGGTTCGAGGCGAAATCCTAACTCTTTGAAGTTATTCACAGATGGAGAAGGATGCAACATATCTTGGACACGCCGGATGACAATAGTTATCGGCATTGCTAAGGGACTGGCATATCTACATTCAGAACTTGACCCTCCATTTCCTATATCAGAACTGAACTCAAATTCTGTATATCTCACGGAAGATTTTTCTCCCAAGATAAACAAAAGACCATCTATCTTGTATACCCATTATGCTCTTAAGCAGTCACAAAAACTTTGGCATTCCATACTTTGTCTTCTCAAAATTTTATTTTAATTGGTGCAGCTTGTTGATTTTGAAAGTTGGAAGTCGATAATTTCCAGATCAGAAAAGAATTCGGGTGCTATCAGTAGAGAAGGAGCAATTTGTGTCTTTCCAAATACTCTAGAGAGCCGTCATCTCGACGTCCAGGGTAACACTTATGCATTTGGAGTACTGCTACTGGAAATAATCAGTGGGAGACCTCCATATTGCAAAGACAAAGGGTGCTTAGTAGATTGGGTTAGTATTTCTTTTCGTGCCAAAATTTATATATGCGATTGACTTTTCAGGCAGAAACAGCTCTGCTTAAGCTTTGGCAGGAACTGAATTTGACTTTTTATGTTGCAGGCTAAGGAATTTCTTCAAGTGCCGGAGGTATTATCCTACGTTGTAGATCCCGAGTTGAAACATTTCAATTTTCAAACAAGAGAATCTCAAAGTGATTTGTGAGGTGATTAACCTCTGCATCCTCCCGAGTTCGAGCAGACTTGTGTGCTATGTTGGAGAGAAACATTGATACTTCCATCACTGCAGAGCTCAAGGCATCTTCTTTGGCGTGGGCCGAGCTTGCGCTTAATTTCATCCTAACTGACAGAAGGCTAACAGTATATATACATCGGAAAATTGTAATTGTCCGTCTACCACTTTCTCCTTTCCTTTTTCTTAACTGTTTTCTTTTTGATCTCTCGATCTCGTTCCCAATGTTCTGGAGTCATGGTTGAGTTCATGTAAATTTTGTGTCTAGTAGAGTTGAAGAGAGTTGATTCTTTGTAAACAACTGGTTCTTTATTAAACGAAGGATTGAAATACCCAAGAATAATTTAGGCACAAGCAAAAAATTCAACAAAGACTATATAGAAGAAATTTATTAAACTAGGGAGAGAACGTGGTAGGAGCCTTTTTCAAAACTCATAAACTCTTGAATCTCTCTACATCATAGCTAGCTCTTTACATTAGAAAATATGTAGTAGCACCCCTATTTATAATACTACAAAACAAGATTTGAATAGAATCTAGGAAACCTATTCCTACATGATTTTGGTTGTGAATCCTAATTAGATATAAATTAAATAAACTAGTAAATACCAAATCCTAGACGGCCTAGAAATACTAATTAATCTTAGTTTAATTTCTAACACTAAATGATGAGTGTTGATAGTGAATGAAAGGAATGTTGGCTAGATTTTACTTATATACATCAAAGCTAAGTTGTTCCGACGCGGCAGTTCAGGTGCTCGTGTCAACACGAATCTTAGAATTTATATCTCGAAAAATTCGACCTCTAGATTTGCTCCCACGTCGGACACCTACACCCGCGTCTGAGCAACTTAGCTTCAATGTGTTGCTTCTTCAGCTTTCTGTATTATTGAGCAATAAGTTCATTGTAGTGTATAAAACACCATACAAATTATGTTTTGAACTTTGATCTAGATATATGTTAAAATTCATAATGTAGAACAAGACACCATATTTTCTTGAAAATAGAAAGTAAATATAGTCATAGTATTAATTAACATGATGTATCGACCTCACCATGTCCTCCATACAATACAAAATGCTCCTTTCCACTTCTAAAATATGGTATATCCAAAACATCATACAAATTAGAATCACTAACTTGGACGTTCATTGATTCTACTATGGGTATCGTCTCACCTTTATCATTTAAAACATTAGGTCTCCGACAATAAGCATCATATCTAGGATCTACAGCAAGCGAGCAACCGGCACCCATTGGAGGTTCAGGCACACCTGGTGGACTATATGCAACTCCTCCCATCTCAACGTTAGTTGCAAAGCTTGCCAAGTCAGTGAAAATCGCTTGAGGCCAAAAGCCAACTTGTTCGTTGTTTTCACCAATCAAAAGCCACCAGTTTCCATTAGCTAGATCCTACAGAAGAAAATATCTATATTCTTATTTTGTACCTTTTAAGTTCTAATCCATGCAATTGTATTATTGGAAAACCAACTCAAGAACTTGAAAAACAATTCTAAAAAAGATAGAAAAAAACGTACCCGGTCGATAAACATTGTGATCTCCGCCATTTGTTGATCTCCACGGTGTGAAATCTCATCAAAGACCATATCAACAGGTAACTCAGTATTTACTAGGACAAATCCAGGACATAGTGCATTGAAGCAATGTGTATTACCAGCCTAATAAACATGAAATTTGTTGTAATCTTTCCAATTGAGGTAAATAGCTAACTTTACAATATATACAAAATCATTGAATTACATACCGCAGTTTACCTGAAAATGTACAAAAAGCCTAGTCTTGTTGTCCTTGTATAATGTTGGATCCACCTAGAACATGAAATATGGTTATCTTAAATTCCCTCTTCCTTTTTCTCTCCCTTACCTTACCTCATAAAAATAATTAAAAAGCAAAAAAGCTATCACAAAATAAATTAAAAAAATAATTTAAGTACCAAAGCACCAATGAACGAGCTATTAAACTTACTCTCCAACCAACTTGTAAAATATCTGACCCTTTTTGAATTTTTAATCGGCATGCACTGTGTTGTTGACCTTCAACATGAGGATTCCATAAACTAGCTGTCATTTCGGCTCCCGCAAAATTATTATTCGTATTATTTTGAACTTGGGCTGATGCAAGCTGAATATAGTAAGTTAACCAATGACAAGGTATACCAAAATTAGCATATATTTATATTCATCTAAAAGATCATCCGAAGCACATTTTGTATTCAACACTCTAAAATTATAAAGATTACTTTGCTTGGTCATTAGATTGCGATAAAGGAAAATACAAAATTGATAAATGAAAAGATGATAAATATTCATATTCATATACCTTGTATCCCTGCGACGATATGTAACTTCTTTTTGACTCAGTATTGTTGTTAATCTGTGTAAAAACAACAAAATAAATGAAATTTGTCCCAAAGCAAATACCACACATCGAATGAAAAAACAAAAAAGAAAAAATTATTCAAGTTATCAATGATTTGGATAACATAATCTTACATTAATAAATTGAACTTCATATGAGATAGCTTCTGGTGACGGAATACTTCTGTGTCTAATAAGATCATCTTTGATTACTCTTTTAATAGGAACTGTTCCGAAAGGACAACCTCTTTCCTTTAACCATATGCTAGATGACCAATTAGTTGCTGAGGTATTTGAATTTTGCCGTGTCCTAGCTAAAGTAGGTTTCATCTGTCCATCAGAAACATAAATTATGCTTGATAACAATCTCATATCATTATTAAAAGGATGAAGATAAAATAAAAAAAGACTAGAGACATACCTTGGGATGAAAATCGTGATTCTTTAATAATGGATGATCAAACGCAGGTTGTTTGTAGAAATCAACACAATCGTATATATCCCCATATTTTGTCTATGACCCAAAACGTTGCAATTGGATTATAAATAATGTTGGTGATACTAATTGAATGTCTTGTTATCAAAATGTGACTTTTGAATGCGTAAACATTTTACCATATGCAAAGTGAAGTTAGAAACTAGAAAGTATTAGGAAATACAAAAATCATAATTTTCGAATACGACGTCACTTTATATAAAAAAGGAATATAGAATAAAATTAATCTTAAAGGGTTAGTAAGGCTATTTCGAAATCTTCAAGTACAAATATGGAATGGAAGTATATTTTCTTTTATCTATAAAAGTGCTATTAACAAAATAAATCACTTGAGAAACTTATGAACACAATGATTTTCTGTTCCGGATATATACCTTAATTATTTTGGTTGCTGGCTTGTTCAAAAGTTTAAGTTGCTTCTCCAACTCTAAATCCTCTACTTTGGATAATTTTATTTCTCCTTGAACTCCGTCATAACTCAGAAGAACATATAGCACCATCAAAATTTGTAGAACAACCTTTCGCTGCATCAACATGGTCTGAATCCATTAAAAGTATTTTAACGGCCTGAATGCGAAATATTTATATACACAAAAAAAAAACAAATATTTAAAGAAAAAATTATTTAACAAAATATTGAATTACTAAACAGTGAACTTACTTGATTGACTAGATACATGAGGTCGAAGTTCTTGAGCTCCTATAATTTTTCTTTTATGAGGAAGAAGCTATGTATAGGGATAGAAAAGATTTAAAATGGCTATGTATAGTGATAGAAGAGATTTAAAATGGCTATTATTAGTTATATATTTTTCAAATCATGAGTAGTAGAATCCAGGGAAGACTGTCTGGTAAGGAATGTCAATTATTCTCTTCTATGTATATTCCAAGAAGATAATCTGACCAGCGATTACTTGTAACATTAAAATTAGGGGCGTACAAAGGAAACCGACAAATCGCACCAAAACGATAATCTGAATCAAACTGAGAAGAAAATCCGACTATTGGTTAAAAAAACCCGACCATAATTGGTTTGGTTTGGTTTTAACTAAAAAAAGTCAAACCGAAACCAAACCAACCCGACATTACATATATAAAAGTTTTAAATATATTTAATACATAAAAATATTTATTGTAGTGTAGTTTATAAATATTTCTTAAACATTTTCATAATTTTATCTTTTAACGTATTATTTTAAACTTGGACTTATAATTCTTGAATGCTACAATAAGTTTTATAGTCAATATTAACACTAATAAAAGACATTCAATTAAATTGTACTAGGAATAACAATAGTGTTGGATATCTATTTTTTTTAGTTTTTTTATGGTTTAGATAATTTGCACAGTTAATTGTTTTATAGTGTTTAGTCATGTAAAAATAGTACTTGTTAGTCGTACTTATTTTAGCAACTTAGTAATTTTATATTATGTTTATTTTTATTATGGCTTATTAATAATATTTGTTTTATACGATTTTATTATCTTCATCGTTGAATATTTTAATACAATGCCATAACTCACCTCATATTTTATGTTAATTTTTTGAAAAGCACCTTATATAGTTATGTCTTACTAGGATCAAAGAAATATTTGGAGCACAAATTCAAAAAAATCCAAAAAATCCGAGATTAAAAAATCCGACTTTTATTGGTTTGGTTTGGTCTTTAGATTTAATAACCCGACACAATTGGTTTGGTTTGGTAATTAGAAAACCAGAACCAAACCGACCTATGTACACCCCTAATTAAAATAATCTACATGTTTCATGTTAATCTATTATACGTGATAGGAGTGTTCAAAGAAAACCAACAAATTGCACCGAACCGACAGAATGAGTCAACCCGAAAAAAGTTAATTAGTGGTTTAGTATTTAAAAAAAGTCCGACCATAATTAGTTTGGTTGGTTTTATATAAATAGTCAAACACAAACTAAATCAAACCGACTTTATATGTATACAATTCTTTAAAATATTTACACTTAAGAATATTTATTATTTTGTAATTTGTATATATTTCTTAAAATTTATTTTAATTTTCGTTTCTTAACATATTATTTCAGGTTTGAACTTATAATTTTAAATAGTACAGTAAGTCCGTTGTAAAATTATAGCTCATAGATCTCTAATAACCCATCCAAATCAAATTATGTTCCCCATTTCATGATCTCTTACTAACAGTGCTTGTCGTCTTGGTTTTCATTATATTTAATTTAATGTTGGGACACTATATTTTTGCATAATGTCATAATTCATTTCACATTCATTTCACATTTGACATACGAAATATTTGGAAGCACTGGTTACACGTTGTCTTGTGGAGACCTTATCAAGAAAAAAGTTGAAAAAATCGAAATAAGAAAGCAGCTTTTGTTGGTTTAATTTAGTTTATAGATTTAAAAAACAGAAATAGTTGATTTGGTTTGGTAATAAAAAACCGAACCAAATAACTGTCACGATCCAAAATCCCACCACAGGCGTCGTGATGGCACCTAGTCTCTAAGACTAGGTAAGCCGGTTTCAATTACATTTTGAAGCTATTTTTTATTTGAAACTAACAGCGAAAATTAACACGGCAACATAATAAAATCAATTCATATCACAATTTGCCAAATGGCCACAACCAAATTTCAAAGATATAACAAAAATCAATTAATTTCACAACAAATAGCCCAAGGCTCCACACAATGTATATAACACCCAAAAACAATCAATATAGATAGAAATTATTCAGCATAAAGCAAAACCTTCATTAATGTAAATTTAGATAATTATATTAACACATATTCTTAAGCTTGCTTAAATTAATTATTTGCATAAGAAAATTCATATTGGAATTTAATTTCCAAGAAATATTAAACCCACAATACTCACGAAATTTCATAAATATTTCAAGTAACAATCACATCAAATTATCATATAAAAACAAATTCAACAATAAGAATTTAAGCATGGCAAACAAATAATTTAATAATTTTCCACAATTTCCCAATTTACTACACAATAATGCCTAAGACTTTAATTCAATGAATTTTGCACGTATAAGCCCGAGTACATACTCGTCACCTCGCGTACACGGCTTTTTACATTTCACAAATGGCACATAAGACTCAATGCCTAAGGGATAATTCCCCCACTCGAGGTTAAGCAAGACACTTACCTTTTTGAAGTTAGGCCGATATTCCAAAATAACCTTCTTGCTTGAATTGACCTCCGGACAGCTCAAATCTATCCAAATTAATTGTATAACTTCATTAAAATTCATCAAAAATAATTTTGGATAATAATACGTCGACTTAAAATTTTATTCTAAAAAGTCAACCAAAGTCAACGCGGGACCCGCCTCTCGGAACCCGACATAATTTTTATGAAATCCGAGCACCCATTCCGATACGAGTTCAACCATACCAATTTTATCGAATTCCAATAACAAATCGACCTCAAAATCTTAAATTTAAACCAAGAGGGTTTTCTAAATTTTTCAGCCCAATTCACTAATTTAGTGATAAAAACAACAATAGATTCATGTAATTTAACCAAAATTAAGTTAGGAATTCTTACCCCAATGTTTTCCTTGAAAAACTCTCGAAAGATCGCCTCACCCGAGCTTCCTTGGTCCAAAAATGGAAGAATGACACGAATTTGGACTTTATTCTGCTGCCCAGGGATTTGTTCTTCGCGTTCGCGAGACTCCCCTCGTGTTTGCGATGAGCAAATTCTTCAAAAGTCATTTTCAAACTCGTCTTAGACAGCCTTTAATATAATAGTCATAACATTTTGTACAAAACTCTAAATGATAAATGGTTTAATTTTCTGAAAACTAGACTCCAAGAGCTATAACTTTCATTTGTTGCTCATCTCCCAATTCCTTATAGATTACGAGATATAAGCTTTCAAAGTCAGCCCTGTGCAACAGAGATTTCCAAACTCTTCTCGGATAGCCTATAGTGTATCTACCATAACTTTTTGTACATAACTCCAAATGATAAATGGTTTAACTTTCTAAAAACTAGACACAAAGTGCTACAACTTTTATTTTTGGATCATCTCCTAGATTGCGAGATATGAGCCTCTAAAATCAGACGACGAACATCAAAATTTCCTTCTTCGCGAACGCGAGAACCTCTTCGCGAACGCGAAGAACAAAGTCCAAACTGTGAGCACGTAATTTTTGTCCGACTGAAAATACTCCTATAAAACTCACAAAAAATAGATTTTTCTAATTATTTTAATTTTTATAGAAATTTTTAGGATTTAATTGCATGAGTTAATTGCATTACTAAACGAAAATCACAAAAAATATGGTCGTTTTTACATATTTAGTTTTTAGTTTTAAAATTAGTATTTTTCTTTCATTAGTTTCAAGTTAAATAATTATTTTAATGTTAGAAGTAGATAATTAATTCAATTCTACAAATTAGATTATTTTAGAACTTAACATAGGTTTTTTTTTAATCAATTTTATTAGGATTTAAAAATTCAAAAAACAAAAAATGAAAGAAAGGCTTTGTTTGGTTCCGGTTTGGGCCAAAGCCATTTTTCAGTAGCCCAATTCATCTCAAAACCCAACTCGCCCCGAGCCCAGTCCGTTCCAGCCCCCACTTAATCAAAACGACGTCGTTTTAGTAACGGCGATCTTAGCTGTTGTTTTTCTTTGATCGAACGGCTGAGAACTCCACACCCGAAACCCTTATAAATGCCCTAAGACCGTCCCCCCAAACCCTAGACACCCCACCCAAACCCCTCTCATCTACCTCTCTCACTCTCAGCCACTCACCACCGCCCGCCGCCCGCCGGAAATCGCCCCACGGCGGCGGCCTACCTCCAATCATCTCCAAATTTTCACCCTACACTCCCCACACCCCCTAATCAATAATCCACCATTAGTTTTCCCAACATCCCCACCCACTTTTCTTTAATTTCAAATCTGAAATTCAAGAAAAAACCCTAATCTGCTTCCCTCTACTTTTTCTTGGAATCTTTTTTTACTCGATTGTCCAAAATTGGTGCTAATCGATTGTTTTTCATCCGAAAATAATAGATTGACACCTATTTTGGGTCACTTCGAAGTCGCCAGATTCCGGCCAAGTCACCACTGACCGTCCACGCTTCGTCGCCATCATCGCTCGTTGATTTGCCTCAATTATTGACTCTCTTCCAGCCAAATTAGTACTTTTCTCTTCCCTTCTTCCTTGTTTCTGTTCTGTTTCTCTTCTGACCAAGTCTGTCTTTAATCGTTGATTCCTTGTATTCTGTTCTGACCGGATCATACCTAAATCTGGTCAGATTAATTTTGTTCACATGTTTAATTAGGTGCATAATCAGTTAATTATATTTTTAATTAGTTAAGTACTTAGAATAGTTTAAAAGTTGAATATTGTTATTTGTGCTTTGATTTTTGACTTATCCGAAGCTTTTATGATAATCGTTTATAATTACTGAAATTCAAGGTTCTAAAAAAATAAAAAAATGAGGAATTTGTTTTGTTTGGTTGGAAACTCACCAAAATAGGAAATCAGTTTAAATGTGGGGGTAAGAATTGAGAGTTAAAAAAAAGAAGTTAAAAGGGTCTGAAAATAAAAGAAGCTTCTAGAATAGGGACAGCTGCCCCAATTTGTTAAGAGAAATATGTTGAAATTGGATAAGAAAGGGACAGCTGTAACAAAATCAGTTAGAAAAGATACCCTTTCTCCTTAATTTCAAGGAGGGCACATGGGAGTGGAGCTGTTCCTATTTTGCCCTATAAAAAAGG